TTATTCCGACTCAGAAGGAGAAATGCACTGGAGTACCGATGTATACCATGCACCTGAATTTACGTATAGTAATGCCCATCTCTTACCAAAAACAAGCCATTGATGGATATTAGCGGTAAGCTCGTGCAAATCCAGTAGAGGCACTTTTTCACTACATAAGGATCAAGATCAAATGAACGCCCACTCTCTTTCTGTGGAAAGAAGATCTATTTATAGTACATCAGCAAATAATGATCAAGTTAAATATAAATTCTTGTTTTCAAATCTTTCGGATAAAAACGAAAGTAGGATTCCTGATTATTTAAAACTTAATCGAATCGGTACTGCTTATTAAAATCGCATATATCCTGATATTATTCACGAGAATTCGGATTTATTAGCAAAAAGGATAAAAAATAGATTCATCATTCAAATTTCATCCATTTAAGAGCGGGAGAAAGAAATAATGACCAACTCTGGCCTCTCAATTGAAATGCTTATAAATGGTATTTTACGTAGAAAGAGTCTTTCTTATTATTTCGACGACCCCCATAATTAAGAATTCCGGAACTCTTTCTTCGGTATTGGGCTAAAAGCGAGTAGGGGTGGCTGAGACTACGGGTATAGGTAAGCATCCGGGGCTGGGATTCGCGAAGAGCAGCTACTTACGATGTTCATGACCAATTGGTAAGCATCAAGCAAGAAAATGGATGCGCTAACGCGCCGTGGCTTGTGACTTTAGAACCCGTTTATGCCTTGGATACCACCCTCGGGAAAGCGCTAGTAGACCCCGAGTTGACTCACGTGGCTTGGATTCAATCGATTTCTTTCCGCATTTTGCGCTTAGTTTCAGTCCTATCCTTCTGTCCTTTATGCAGTAGTTGGTTGTTTCCGGCCAGCCAGCCTTCCTAACGTCAGATAGATGCGGGAAAAGATCAAGCAATAGCCGGCATTCAATTCTTCTTTACACCTTTCCACCAAGAGCCGTTCTATAGTCAAATAGGTAAGTTGAGCTTTCTTTAATTGTTTAAGCTGATTAAGGGCTCCTTTTCATCACACAACCTGTTCCATAAATCGGGAAAAAGAATCCGAAAGTCGCGTCATTAGGAAACCGTAGGATCGAAGTCTTTCACGGCAAGCAGAACAGTCTCTGAAATCGGTGCGATTAAGTCTTCAATGTCCGTGACGATTCGGAATGGTGATAAGGTAGATGTCTTAGTTTGGGGGTTTGGGACAAAATGGGAAAACTTCAAATGGGATAACTCTTCTTCTGTCTTATAATAAAAAAGAGAAATGGACCGGTCTAACGGATGAACCGGAGGAGTAGGGAGAAGAGGATTGGCCTTATTCCACTATCGCCTGGGATAGTCAGTAGTAGTCTGTTTTGGGGTGGTACTCCCGTGACAGGAAAGGTTTTTTAGGAAGCTTATTCAGTCTTCCGTATCTCTCTCAGTTGGTTAGCCTTTGTCATTTTCCTTCGCTTTCTACTTACTCTCTTCCTTCTCTGTGGGGCTTTACGAGGGCGTCTTTGATCACTTCTCCTTTTAGGAAGTTCAGTTCTTTCTCTCTTTCTCGACTTGCAACTTACTTTTTCTTTCTTGCCCGTTTCGCAAGGTGCGCGAACGAATAGACGTCAGTAGTCCTTTTGTGGCTAGGCAACTCATGCGGCGAAAAAGAAGATGACTATTTCGTAAAAAAGAGTATCCGTAGCTCAGTCGCTAGTACGGGGACTAGACCACAAGGGCAGAGAAGTAGTTTACTTGTGAAAACTTCACTATAGAGAGCTTGATTCTCTTCCCCTATTTCCACTCAGAATTCCTTCAAAGACTGGTTATGATAGATGACTTAGACGACAAGAAGGAGTTGGCAGACGCGCGGAAAGGTAGCACTCCAATCCAAATTCAATGTTAGTCTGGAGGTTCCGAGGGTAAACAGGGATAAGGACGCCATCAGTCATTTCGAAGATCACTTATGCAAATTGCAAAGCATACCTTTAGTGAGGGACTAATTAGTCGTTAGGCCCGAGCGGCTAACTCATTGTTCGCACTTCAAGTGGGAGTGAGGGTGGTTGTAAATCAATTAATTAATTTCACAGGCAAAGGCCAAGCCAAGGCGAGAAAGACCCAGCGCAAGGGTCACTTTGAAAATATGGATTTTTTAATACGAAAAAGCTGTTCTTCCATTATAGCGAGTTCGGTCAGATCAAGCTATAATGGGCAGTGTCACAGGGACCTAGCCTTTCCTTCTTCTCCCGGGTATAGTACTTATGGCGCAAGTCAGTCTCCTCAAGTGGAAGCAAGAATAGGGGGTTCGGGTATGAGGTACTCATTCTTGTATCATTGGTAGGAAAGGGGGTAAGCGAACATGGCTGTATTTATTTGTTAATGTTACTTACCTTTGCCTGCCCTTCCTTTACGCGTATAACGCTCGGTTGACTTAACCATACCTTTCAAACTGAATCGACTTTCTTCCACTTCGGGTCTCAGGTCAAAAAATCCTAGTCCGTCATACTTTGCCGCAGATTCAATAGAAATAGCTTGATTGAAAAACTGACAATATAACTATAACAGCATAAGTCGGTCCCGTTCTCTTACTAAGTCAATTTACCGGTGATTGAACTACCTTTAGAGTTGAGCTAACTGCAATAATGAAACTTTTTCGCGGAGCTGAAAAGTCCAAAACCAAAGAAAAAAAGTCAGTCTCATCCCAGAAGGACAGTGACAGCCCAAGGATAGGAAATTCCTTGATTCAAATCTTTCGGGCATGGCCATTGATTTGAGTGGCATTCTATTCTCTTTATAAAGTCAGGTAAGGAAGGAAGTAAGCATGCTTCTGATAGACTGAGATTGTCAATAAAAAGAATGAGTAAAAAGCAAGCAATTGATGCAATAGAAGAGGCTTCAACTCGTTCAAATGCCGCAGTTGATGCAATGTAATAAAAGCTCTTTGATTATGAGTGATCCTATTCGCCGCTGCTGGGATCTTTCTTTGAAGAACTCCCTTTTATTTTCCTTTTTCGGGTGGAAGCATCGAATGCCATGGTTCTTGTTACAGACTAGGCTGCAAGTGAGAGTGATAGAATCAGCTCAACTGTGAATGTTGCCGATGCCGATACCGGAGCAGCTAAAGGAAGCTAACTGGGTTGGGCCTGAGTACTGTTTTCTATAATTTACTGGAAAAACAAACCCCTCGCCAGTCAGAGTTTTCACTGAGGGCGAGTCGCTTGTGCTTCTTTCTCCTATCGGGTTTACATCCATATGAGGCTGACTTACCCTCTTTCGAAAAGTACGTAAAGCTGTCAATCCAGTAAGAAAGGCACTCAAAAAAATGGAAGATATTCGACATCGGCACAGGCTGCAAAGGAAGCAAATACCTCAATCGGAAACTTAATCTGAGCCTCGCTCTACTCTGTTAAAGCTTGCATTCGGAATAGCCGTGCCGTACCCATTACACTCTTATTCTTCTATTTGTTCATAACCTCGTGCTTGACCTCTTCTTTTCTTTTGGTTAGCTAGCCCGCCTGTCAGCTATGCTTCGGAATCACACCCTATTCAGACGGATAAGGCTCAGATGTCGGCCCCAGCACGAAGGCAAATACGAATTCCGCCTTCCTCTACCGTCAACTCCACTAGGGCTCCCTTTCGAAATTGCGTATAATATAAAGAGAACTCGATTCGTCTTGCTTATGCCCTTCTTCTTCATTGGCTTGAATGTGTGGTATCAGCTTCTGACCGAAGTGCTCTTTCTCTCACTCACTCTTCCCCTTTTTCTTTTCAGTGTGATTTTCTTTTTGTTCTGGGAAGAAAGGGGGATTCTGCGCTAAGAAAGAATTAGCCCTCTTTTTTTAAGCGTTCGTGTCCTGGCTCACTTCAATACATTACAAAGAAGCAAAACCTTACCGCAATGTTCAAGTCCGCTTCGCTTTGCTCCGCTCGCTCCGTGGGGAACGCATTTCAACCAACTATCTTTTTGATTGTTAGCAGATAGTTCACAAAAGAGTGCTTATTGAGAATGTAAAAGAAGGTAAACTCATGTTTCTCTTTCCACTCCATTTTCATTACGAAGATGTATCATGTCAGGATCCGTTGCTCAAAGCGAATCACGCCAACGTTATGGAAGTTCCTCGATTGTGTGAAATAAGAGTAGTACCAAAGGCACCTTATTCTTTCATAATCAAAAATGGTAAATTGGCTATGGAGATTCAGTGCGGTCAGAAATTCATACAGACACAAAAGGATTCGACAGGAAAGTGGTTTCAATCTAATCCATTCTTGGAGTCAAATAAAAACAAAAAAGGATATGTCAGTGACAACGCACGACAAAGTACTCTCCGAGGGCATGGAATGTCTCATTTTTCGGTCAGACTCTCTACAGTAATCTCTCTCTGTTATTCCCCGGTCGAAATACGGAAAAACTCCATTCAATTCTCGATGGAAACGGAGTTTTGCGAATTCTCTCCAGAACTGGAAGATCATTTCGAGATCAATGAACATATTCGAGGATTCAATGTGACTATTGTCACTTCGGCCAACACACAAGATGAGACTTTACCACCGTGGAGCGGCTTTTTGCAAAAAGAGGAAAGAGAACAAAAGTAAAATGTCATAAAAGCGAATGAAAGACCCATTCCCATGCTTTTTTTGGTCAACAACCAACAAACAAAGTACACTTTCCGTAGCGGCGAAAAGGAGAAAAAAAAAATGACGAAAAGGATTTTGAGGCCCTCTACCGTGGTTACTGGAAACGACTTATCCAACAACTTCAGGATGAGGCTGAAAATGGATTGGGTAACCGAGTACACCATGGTCGGTGGGGTGCCGTTCTCCATCAGAGGATTCCCAAGGAGGGATAAAATTGGGAAAGACTCGCGGCGGGAAGGAAAGCCAATTCTTTCCATTTTTCTTATAGACCATTGTAGAATTGGAGAAGAATCAAAAGTCAATTCGCACTTTTTCTTTTTGTGGCATTCCTCCTTGACTTTCACGTTTACATCCATTTTTTATATTAAAAATTTTTTGATTATGGAATTCTCTCCCAGAGCTGCGGAACTAACAAGTCTATTAGAAAGTAGAATTACCAACTTTTACACAAATTTTCAAGTGGATGAGATCGGTCGAGTGGTCTCAGTTGGAGATGGGATTGCACGTGTTTATGGATTGAACGAGATTCAAGCTGGGGAAATGGTTGAATTTGCCAGCGGTGTTAAAGGAATAGCGATGAATCTTGAGAATGAGAATGTAGGGATTGTTGTCTTTGGTAGTGATACCGCTATTAAAGAAGGAGATCTTGTCAAGCGCACTGGATCTATTGTGGATGTTCCTGCGGGAAAGGCTATGCTAGGGCGTGTGGTCGACGCGTTGGGAGTACCTATTGATGGAAGAGGGGCTCTAAGCGATCACGAGCGAAGACGTGTCGAAGTCAAAGCCCCTGGGATTATTGAACGTAAATCTGTGCACGAGCCTATGCAAACAGGATTAAAAGCGGTAGATAGCTTGGTTCCTATAGGCCGTGGTCAACGAGAACTTATAATCGGGGACAGACAAACTGGAAAAACAGCTATTGCTATTGATACCATATTAAACCAAAAGCAAATGAACTCAAGGGCCACCTCTGAGAGTGAGACATTGTATTGTGTCTATGTAGCGATTGGACAGAAACGCTCAACTGTGGCACAATTAGTTCAAATTCTTTCAGAAGCGTCTGCTTTGGAATATTCCATTCTTGTAGCAGCCACCGCTTCGGATCCTGCTCCTCTGCAATTTCTGGCCCCATATTCTGGTTGTGCTATGGGGGAATATTTCCGTGATAATGGAATGCACGCATTAATAATCTATGATGATCTTAGTAAACAGGCCGTGGCATATCGACAAATGTCATTATTGTTACGCCGACCACCAGGCCGTGAGGCTTTCCCAGGAGATGTTTTCTATTTACATTCCCGTCTATTAGAAAGAGCCGCTAAACGATCGGACCAGACAGGTGCAGGTAGCTTGACCGCCTTACCCGTCATTGAAACACAAGCTGGAGACGTATCGGCCTATATCCCTACAAATGTAATCTCCATTACAGACGGACAAATCTGTTTAGAAACAGAGCTCTTTTATCGCGGAATTAGACCGGCTATTAACGTCGGTTTATCTGTCAGTCGCGTAGGGTCTGCCGCTCAGTTGAAAGCTATGAAACAAGTCTGCGGAAGTTCAAAACTAGAATTGGCACAATATCGCGAAGTAGCCGCCTTTGCTCAATTTGGATCAGACCTTGATGCTGCGACTCAGGCATTACTCAATAGAGGCGCAAGGCTAACAGAAGTACCAAAACAACCACAATATGAACCACTTCCAATTGAAAAACAAATTCTAGTCATTTATGCAGCTGTCAATGGATTCTGTGATCGAATGCCATTAGACAAAATTGATCAATTTGAAAAAGAAATTTTAAGCAATGTCAAGCAAGAATTACTCCAATCACTTTTACAGGGCATAACTAACGAAAAGAAAAGAGAACTAGACACTTTCTTAAAAGAACAAACACAAAATCTGTTAATATAAAAAAGAAGATGAAAAAAACAGTTAACGGCGTGAAGAAGATGAAAAGTGCTTGTATGCATTTTTTTATTTTTGAAAAAGTCTTTTTCCTGCATCTCTCTTATTTGTATTTCAATTTCTTCTTTTTCATTTTTCATGATGGTTCATGCTTTCTTTATTTATTTGACTTCCATTTCTTTTTCAATTCTCCAGGATCCGGGCAAGTCAGGCCCTGGAGCTTTATATGGCTATGGATAGCGGCTCTGACGGCGGCTGGTCTACTAGGAGACAGCTCCGGCGGCTACTCAGGCGGCTACTCGGAAGCAAGTGTCAATCAAGAGCCTGCTGCCGGCCCTTCGAATCCAAACCACGCTGGCCCCTCTGCTATCAGCGGCCAAGATTCAAATCAGTCTTTCACTGTGGAGCATCCGCCAAATCCATTCCAGGAGGAGGGAGAGCGGGGAGATCTTCTCAGGCGTGCCCATAGACTTGTTTCCGAGCAATTAAAGCATTTCTGCGAACGAGGCTATGAAAAGTGGAGACAGTAACAGGTCACTTACCATTATGATGAAGCGGCATTATACATTTTAAAGACAGATATGGAGATTTCTTTTTATACAAATTTTATACAAATGAGGAGAGACAAAAAAAAAACCTGAAAGTATGAAAGAAATCTATGAGCCCTTTCGCGAAAAAAAAAAGTGAAGCTGCTTTGATTATTGCTGAAAAGAAAAACCGCTTCGCCCCTATCTTTTTTTTATTCCTTCTCTTGGTTTGATATGGAAAGAAGTATAAAGTGAAAAAGGGTCTGGTCTGACAGAAAGCGGTGTAGTTCTATTTTCATACAAGAAGAGGACGAGGCCCACGCGCAGGGCATCTTTGGTCTTCTGTTCGTGGGAGAGAGGAGAGTGGGAAAGTGGGCTCCTTTCACTTGACTTTATACTTGATTTTAAGTTCAGCTTACTTATAAAAGTGCAAGTTTGATAGGAAATGAGCAGATGGCAGAAGGACGCAAATGACTCGAGGGTCGAGGGACGGAGATCAGGCAGGAAGCTTCACATCAGTACCCTTTGTTAGTTTCCAGGTCTCGCGTGTGGGATAGAGCGTGAGTTGAAGAGCAGCCTAAAAACCCAGACTTGTTGTTGGAATGCAGTGTATAGAGAATCTTGGGGGAAGCGGTCCACGAATCCCGATCGAGCAGATGCTTCAACGGGAATGAAAGTGGTTAGGCTCAATAAGTGCATCGAAGCGTCCAAAGGGAGGACAAGAAGGCGGTCAAATGCGTGTTCGTTGGATCTTCACCCTTGGGAAAGGACCTCTCAATCCGCCGACCTTGACTGAAAAAAGCTCCCAATTAGGTCAGTAGCTGGCCGAGTAGCTGATAGACCAAATAAGCACAGTAGCTGTTTAGAGCCGAAGGAGCTTTCCACTTTTTGGGATTCTATAGCCTTCGCACTTACCTTTAGGGGATCGAAGTTGGATGAATCTCCAGTGGTTCCTTCCATCGGCGTCATCGAACCACGTTAGCAATCCAGAAAAACTTGAAGCTCGAAACGACCAGTCAAAAGAATTGATATGTTTAGTTCTGTTCTTCTCCTAGTTTTATAGTACACCCATGTAGAAGGATCTTTCCGACGCTAAGCGCGCTGCATCTTCTGTCTAAGTGAAGAATATCTTGTCCTTCTCCTTCCAGGTGAGCATCCCTCATAGGAATTCCAACCATCAGATCAGGGGCTTCCTATAGAGGCCAAATACACTCTACCTGAAAATGAGACAGAAATGAATGCAAGACTTCGAAAGCTTGCAAAGCTTGAAGAAATGAAATGGATGATTTGAGATCCGTTGAATGTTGACCATAAAGCGTGAAAGTCTTTTTCCTCCTACTTGAATAGAAGAATGAAGGGAGGAAGTGAATTTCCCCTTCTCCGGCTAACCGATAGGGAAATCCTTACACAAGCCCAAAAACGTGAACTCGATCTTCAGCCATTACCACGATTCGATCAAAAAAGGGCCTGAACTTCAAGGAAAAGAAAGGCGAAAAGCAAGAAAAAGCCTCGCCTATGACCTTTTTGAAAGGTACCATTGACTCGATAGAAAAGGAAGAAAGCAACCTCCCTCACTCAAACCGAAAGAAGGATTTCTTTCGTCCGAGACGGATTAGGCTGAAAGGCAAGATGGGCTGATAGGCTTTGGAAGTTGCCGGCCTGATACGATCGGGAATGCTTCTCCAACCTCAAAGATGAGTCCCTCCCTTCATTACACAAACTACTCAAGCAAAAGCAAATTCAACCTTCAAATACGGGACTGGACAAAGAACCGGAATCTCATAGACTGTATCCACGACACCAACAGAGAGAGAAGGAAAGGAAGAAGAGGAAAACGAGTGAAACCGCACTTCATTCATTAATTGAATTTTTGAGTAGAATCAAAAGAGACCTGGTTCCCCTCTGTGGCATCATCATTTACGCAACTGAGTTAAGAGGGATCAGAGGATCTTCTATCTCTAACCGGGAAAGGAGCGGAACATGAAGACTTTGAACAGCATGGATTTTTCAAAGCCTTTCATTATATAGAATATATATATCTAATATGAGATTGAACGAGATAATCAAACAAAGTCAGAAGAGAACTCGATAGGAAGAAGAAGAGCATAAAGGTTTTCGAAGTCTTCAAGCCCTGTTTCAGCTGAGAGCATTGATTCCCCTGGCACCTCTCTTCCATAAAGAAAGCAAGCAAACTAAAAGCAGCCGGTCTCCCATTGTTGTTGGCAAGGAGGCACAAGAGGCCATCAGCCAGGAAGCCAGTTTCGATAAAAAAGTCTATGATTGATGATAGTAGGGGTGAAGTAATAACCTGATCTTGCTCTCTTCTATGACGGCATTAGAGGAGTGAGCCTGCCCTTCATTCAGCAGGTCTCAAAGTAGATCTTTATGATAGGTAGGTGGAAAAGCTACAAGCCATTACCCAAGTTCCGTGCCGTCTTTTCTTTCTTGATCCGCAAGAAGATTGAAGAGTTCTAACTTGATCTCATGTCTTCTTTTTTCCCTTAAAAAATGTATTATTATAGTAGGTATTCTCTTTCGTTACAAAAAGTGTCAAATATCAAAGAAAAAAGGAAAAAGCCAGACGACAAGAGGGGAAAGCTGCGATAGCAGCTCGACCGACGGAAGAAGTAAAAGGGGAAGCCTGATCGGACCCAAAGTCCGGTACCGGTACATGAGAAGCACCTTAAAACTGTCATCGCACTGTCCAAAATAAGAAGATCAGCAGGGTCAAAGTTTACGTTTCGTGACTTTGCTTAGCTTCCAGTCTTGAATGGAAAAAAGCTGCTTGACCTTCAGACAAAGGCAAGCTATCCGGCTTGATTCACATTTTCTTCTTGATTAGAGGGGCGTAGCGACATTGTTATAGAAGTATCCAGGCCAAAATGGAAAGCAATCGAGGGAAAGGGTGTAGAACATGAAATATTTTCCGATCTTTTTTTGTCCGGAGGTCTAACAGTCGATTAGGTCAGTAGCGGAATGCCATTTGACCTTACTGAGAGGTTCAATAGCGCGTTCAGGCCCTCGGGAGAGGAGGAATCCCTATTAACGAGGAGTCCAACTATCTTATCGAATCAAAGAGGTCTGAAGCAAGGAGTGCTCGCCAGTCCCGCCCCATGGAAAGGGCAAAGGTAGAACCGTCCTCGTTAGCCTATGAATAAGAGAAGATGAGGTATGTGAAAGCGCTCTTTCGGGCGAGTGAGTCACATGCGTTCAAGTCAAAACAATAGAAAGTAACTCGACCTTAGGCAGAGCCGCTCAAACAAAGATAGCTTCTTGATCCACGTATCTCATTGATGACGCGATAGGGGCGGAATGCCAAGCCGCTCTAACACCATTCCATTGGGGGAGTCCCATTCAGACGGACAAGACAGAGGCCAGTGACGGGGCTGACGTCAGAGAAGAAAGGCAAGTCACAAGTAGTACGCCTGGTTCACGAGGTTCTACCACTGAAGGGCCCAATCATAGTCAAAAGAAGAGTTTGATCCTGGCTCAGAAGGAAGGCTAGCTATATGCTTAACACATGCAAGTCGAAAAAAAAAAAGAATAAAAGAAAGAAGGTTCACAGTTTAAGTATGCCCTCAAGATGCATCCACTGAGACTATGATTCTCGGAGAGGGACAAAGCCTTGATTGTGTTCAATCAGCCACTCTCCTTTCTTTGACGGTCGGTGGGGTTGAAAGCAAGTCCGGGCACTACCAAGCATTAGCCCCAAAGAAGCGAGATCGCAAACTTAGCGCATTTCAGGGCAAGGGCAACAAACAAACCCAGTTGCGCTTTCAAAGTCGAACATCGGGCTTTCAGCGCTGAGTTTCCAGACTAAGTAAGTCAAATACTCTGGGACTCAGAATCTCACTTTCTCTTCATCACGGGGCGCATTCGTCTATCGATCTTAGTCTTAGATAAATGGGTGGTAGCCACTACGTCAAGAGCAAATCTAAGAGAGAGAGAAAGAGTTTCTTGCCTTTTCCTCGATGAGTTGAAGGTTTGTTACTCCTTCGCTGCGATCGTACCTTCGCGAGTAGAACTTGAAAGATAGGGGTCAACGCCACAGGCAGACGCCAAAACAATAGAACTTGACAGATATTGACTTTTTTCAGCATTTCTTGTCACCATGACCAGCCCTGGTGGGTGAAGGAGAGAAAGTCTCAGCGCTAACTCAAACGACGGACAATCGACCAACGGGAGAGAAAGAACCCGAATAGAGAAAATTCCCTATTGAGCCTAAGGCGCGCATCTCCTCTTTGAAAGAGTCAATTTCCGCTCAAAGCAGTGAAAGCAAAGAAAGCAGTCAACAAGTCTCATCCCAGGGGGACTTTAAACAGCATTGAACTCTCCTCCTCGCTTACCTTTATTGATCTTATTTTTGAGAAGAAGTGAAAGAAGGTTTCAGAACTCGGTCTCATTCTGAGTCCATTTTTTTGAAGCTTTTTCATATTTTTCATTAAAGCGTTTGAGAGATGGCTTTCAAACTTGTAGGGC